TGGAGCATTTGAATCACCAACCTTGAGGCTTGATGCTTACTCTACAGTGCCACACCAGGACTCCATGTATCTATCTATGTTGTTGTTGTTAAATGCCATCGAATCAGTTCCAACCCATAGTGACCCTGCATAAAGTTTCTGAGGCTATAAATCTTACGGGAGCAGAAAGCCTCATCTTTCACTCGCAGAACCGCTGGTAGTATCAAACTGCTGACCTTGAGGTTAGCAGCCCAACTCATAACCACTACGCTACCAGAGCTCCTTTATATCCTAACACTAAATGAAGTTCTAGAGCTAGCCTACACCTAGCCATAGCCCCAACCCTCACACCTTACTACTTCCCCCCCAAAATTAATTAACAATGCATATATCAATCTATATACATTTAAAAAAATGTTTTATTGTGAATGATGTGATAGTTTACATTCTATATACATTTTTAATTTATGTTTTGGGGAAATAGTAAGGTGTGAGGGTTGGGGCTATGGCTAGGTCTATGCTAGCCCAAGAACTTCATTTAGTGTTAGGGTAATGGTTAGGACTATGGGCTAGTGCTAGGAGTAAGTCTTGGTCTAGTTTTTAGGGTGACAGCTAGGTTTATTTTTTTTCCCCTTGAAATCTATCTGATTTCTTCTTCATTTGGAAGTTCTGTAACTATAGTATTCCCTCTTTTTTTCTTTATGTTCTTGTGTTATTGCAATTTATCTCTGGTTCTCTCTTTTCAGTCTTACAGGTCTGAAATTTTACTTTGCATCCTTAGGTATCTGGGTTGAGTCTAGGTGATAAGGTCATGTATGTCAGTCTCAGGTTGTAGTCTGCTGTTGTTGGCTCTCTGTCCAAGAACTCCCTTTAATACTTTTTGTAAGGTTGATCCAGTTTTTACAATTCTTTTAATTTCTGTTTGTCTGAAAATGACCTATTTTGCCATCATATTTTTGGACAGTTTTACTGGATATGATTCATGGTTGGCAATTATTTTCATTCAGAATTTTATACATGTCATTTCATTGTCTTCTTGCCTGCATGGTTTCTGAGAAATAAAAGCTTAGTCTTACTAGTTTTCCTTCGTTGTAACTTTTTGGTTTTCCTGAGCTGCTCTTAGGATATGTTCCTTATTTTTGGTTTTGAAAAGTTTGATGATGTCTTGATATTTTTCTTTTGGGGTATATCTTGGAATTAATTCAACTTTTTAAATGACTTATTTTCTCATCTTTCATGATGTTAGAGAAATTTTCTTCCAACAAGTCTTGAAAAATATTGTTTTGTTTCTTTTTTAAAATCCCTTCCTATTCTGGAATTCCTATCACACATAAGTTATTCCTTTTAACAGTGTTCCACTTAAATCTTAGGTTTTCTCTCGATTTTTTTTTGTTCTGTATTCTGACTGTTCCTCTAGCAGACAGTGATTTTTCCCCAAGCTCAGTAATTCGAGTTTCCATTAATTCAATTCTATTTCTTTGCCCTTTCAATGAATTATCTATCTCTGAAGTCTCCTGACTTTCTAATTTCTAATTGGTTCTCATTTTTTTCAATTATTTTGTCAGTTTGTGTCTTGAGTTTTTCCATAGTTCTGTTTTCCTTGGTTTTATCTGTAATTTTCTTGATCTCTCTCAATCGTTGAAGTTGACTAATTAGCATTCTTTAAAATTCCTTATCAGGTAGTTCTGACACCATTTCTGGTGTTATATTTCTGACTGTGTATTTTGGTCATTTGTTTGAGGCACTCTGCCTTCTTTGTGTAAGCTGAAATGGTTTTCTCTGTGACACTGTGGTGTTAAATTTACATTTTATTACTGATCAGTGTACATTGCTGTGTTCTTATGGACTTACCACCTCTCTCGGTAGATGTGGCAGAGAATGGAAGTGTGATCATAGTTTTCTGTTCACTGCTTGTGTAGCAGAGTTCAGGATGGGTACACACATCTCTAGAAGCAGGAGTGGTGCAATGCCAGATGCTCAACCCCATGCAGAGCAGAGGCTGTGCAGGAAGGGGTACCTCTGGCTGTTGGACTGATGAGAATAGGGACTGCCATGCCTCTGACCAGCAGGATGGCACGGGAACAAGGGAGAATTGCACCCCCTTGCCACCAACCTCCAGCCATGTCCTGTGCCTGCAAGCAGCTGTTCAACAGCAGCTCACAAAAGCTAAAGATGGCTGCACTGTGCAGCACCACACTAGTCCTTAGTTTACCTAATTGTCTCCTCTATCACTGTTCCTGTTCAGCTTTCTCTTCCAGTCAGCACTCAATCCACCTCTCTGTTCTATCCTGTAACATTCAAGCTTCTCGGATCCTTATCTGTATCTGTTTCCCACGGTCTCTCATGTGTTTGTTGCAGTATGTCTGCTTATATTACCCTGGACTTGCACTGAAAGTATATAGTCTTGGCCTTCATCAGTATTTCAAGTCCTTTTGGCTTCTAGCAAGCATGGTTGTGTTATCTGCATATCGTTGTTATTGTTGTTGTCAGGTGCCATTGAGTCAGAACCGACTCATAGCGACCCCATGCTCAGCAGAACGAAACAATGTCCGATCCTGGGCCAACCTCATTACTGCTGCCACACTTGATGTAATCAATGATGCCACTTGGCTGATCCATCTCGTTGGGGGTCTTCCTCTTTTTCTCTGACCCTCCATCTTACCCAGCATGACATCCTTTTCCAGAGACTGTTCCCTCCGGACAATATGTCCAAAGTATGAGAGATGAAGCTTAGCCATCCTGGCCTCCAAGGAGCACTCTGGCTGCACTTCTTCCAAAACAGATCTATTGGTTCTTTTGGCAGTCCATGGCACTTTTAGTATTCTCCTCCAACACCACAATTCAAAGGCATCAGTTCTTCTACAATCTTCCTTATTCACTGTCCAGCTTTTGCATCCATGAGGCTATTGAAAATAGCATGGCTTGGGTCAGGCACACCTTAGTCCTCAAGCTGACATCTCTGCTCTTCAACACTTTAAAAAGTTCCTGTGCAGCAGATTTGCCTAATGCAATACGTCGTCTGATCTCTTGACTGCTGCTTCCGCAAATGTTGATAGTTGATCCAAGAATTAAGTCCTTGACAACCTCAATTTTTCCTCTGTTGATAAGAATGTTGTTTATTGGTCCAGTGGTAAGGAATTTTGTTTTCTTGATATTGAGATGCAATCCATACCGAAGGCTGTGTTCCTTGATCATCATCAGAAAATGTTTCATGTCTTCTTCACTTTCAGCAAGCAAGGTTGTATCATCTGCATATCGCAGGTTGTTAACGAGTCTTCCTCCAATCCTGATGCCACGCTTTTCTTCATAGAACCCAGCTTCTCGTATTATTTGCTCAGCATACAGGTTGAATAAGTATGGTGAAAGAACACAACCTTGTCGCACACCTTTCCCAATTTTAAAACATTCAGTGTTCCCATGCTCTGTTCGAACAACTGCATATCGTAGGCTCTTAATAAGTCTTCCTGCAATCCTGATGCCATATTCTTCTTCATATAAGTCAGCTTCTTGGAATATCTTCTTAGAATACAGAAGGAATAAGTATGGTAAAAGGATACAACCCTGGCACACAGTTTTCCTGATTTTAAACCATTCAGTATTCCTTTGTAAAAGTGTTCTACTAAGCTTAAAATTTTCCTTTTTATATGCTCCAACTGATATGACATCTACCAAAAAGGTAATTCTACAGAAAGAAAAAATAAGATCAATGGTTGGTGTGGGTAGAAGGGTAGAAATGGGGATTAATGAGCATTAGGAATCTTATTGCCGTGATTAAAATATGTTCTACAATTGAATTGTAGAGATGGCTTCACAACTTGATTATTACCAAAATCAATGACTTGTATAATTAAAACATAAATATTAATCATGGTATGTAAAATGATACTTCAATGAAGTTAAAAAGCAAAAAACTTTCTCTTGGAAATAAGGCATAAATTATATATTCAGCACTGTTGTAATCACGCTTAGTTGAAACCACATTTTAAAATATTTTAAAACACAGCATTTATTTTGCTAATTTGTTAAAAAAAAAAAAAAATACCTTAGGCACAGCGGCTCTTTTTATCATACTGGGAATTATACATCTTGGACCAGTTTCACCAGCAAACCCACACCTGTAAATAATAGGAAAATTAAAACACTGTATTTAAAGGCTTTCTAAATAGTTCTTACAAAAGCAAGTTTTTCTGTATTTGTTTCAAAACCATGTTCAGAGAAACATTTGAAATCATCTCTGTTGTATTCTAAGGGAGAAAAAAAGCTAAGAAGTTAATACCATATACGATGGCATAGTGGGTTACCAACTGGGTTACTTAAATGCAAGGTCAGTGGTTTGAACCTACCAGCCACTATGTGTCTGCTCCCATACAGATTTACAGTCTCTGAAACCCAAAGAAGTGCTTCTACCCTATCTAATAGGGTCACTATGAGTTGGAATCAACTTAGCAGCAGTAGCAGGACTGGCTTTGGTTACTCATAACTGGACACTGAAGGGAAAAATTACATACGATTTTCGGTTATCATCTACTTTTTTCAGTATTTAACTTTAATTGAATTTTAGGTAACATATTTCTATGACACTGGATCCACAATAAATTATGTGACTTCATTCACATACTTTCTCCCCAGAGGATTAGCTTTCTACATGCTCTTTTATTTGTATAGCACGAGGGGGCTTCAGAAAGTTTGTAGAAAATGGAATGAAAAGCTGATGGATTCTCCCCCCATGAACTGTTTCAAGATCCCTTGTATGCGTGACTATGCTTCTGTTAGTTGCTGTCAAGCTGACTCTGACTCATGGACTCCCCATGTTTGTCTTTAGTAGAACTGTGCTCCTTAGGGGTTCCAATGGCTGATTTTTCTAAAGCAGAATTCCAGGGCTTTCTCCCAAGGAGCTTTTGGGTAGACTCAAACTGCTAACCTTTTGGTTAGTAGCCAAACCTGTTAATTGCATCTCAAATCAAAACCCACCGCTATCAAGCCGATTCAGACTTACAGCCAAGGGTTTTTGAGGCTGTACGTCTTTACAGGAGCAAACAGCCTCATGATTATTTCACAGAGCAGCTGGTGGGTTTGAACTGCCAACTTTACACTTAGGAGCCCAATGGCTAACCCACTATCAGAGCTCCTTATAAACTGTACCAATGCCCTTCACATTCCCTATGATACAACTCATGGTCAGCTTCCTTTCTTTTACTTCACATATTCTTCCTTGCTTTTACTTCACATATTCATCTTTTTTTTTTTTTT